CTGATCTATCTAGATTCACTTTATACCATTTCTACATTTCTACTTTATATTTCCCTCTCCATCCATATTATCTTCCCTATCCTTTCGATTTCCAATACTAATCTATCTACCTGTACTCTCTGATTTTTTGCAGGGTTTATTGTACATCACTTTTAACATTAACTCTTTTTGAGTCTAAATTGTTATAAATTAGTGATCGATACATATTACCTAAACTGTTACTTTAGAGATAATTAAGTAGGATTTTGGTATTCATATGAGTCTGTAGGTAATTGGATATTTAATTTAGGTTTTTGTCTGATGTATCTCTGACTTTTATAAACCCCTAGTGCACTTACACTGACAGTGTGCTGCAGTTATTTTGGGGTTGATTGCCTAAACATGTTGGGGCGAACACATAATACGGAGGTACTGTGAGACTGATTTATTCAGCCTTTTTCACTTTGTAATAATTTCCATTTTCATGGTCTCCCCCAATATACTGTTTTTCCGATATAAGTTTTTCATATCTGCACTCTCTGTTTTTCTGCAAGGCTTAGTATGTATCTAAAGTATCACTTGTAGCACTAACTATGTTTTAGTGTATATTGCTACATATAATTGTGACTGATACATGTTATTTTCACTGTAGCCTTGCATCCAAATTGACAGGATTTTTGTCATATACATGAGTTCCTAGGTGATTTTAATTTATTATTCTTAATAAAATCTATTTATTATTTTTCTTAGATGTTGTCCTTGGGGTGACTTGAAGGAGAGCAGCCCGGTTTGTTACAGGGCTGTCTTTTCCTTCACTTTTTTGTATATTTTGTGCTCTATGCAGGGTTATGCCCTTTTTGTCACCCCTATAGCCCACTTTTTCCTGTACTCCCTATTTGGATTCTCTATTTAGGGAATACTTCTATATATATATCATTATCATTAACAGCCCGAATAAGGAAGTATATTCCCATAATACTAGGGGGTTAAATACCCCACATAAACATTGTATGCTGTTACAAGATGCCAAAATTGCAAAAGCAGATATCTTGTGCTTACAAGAAACCCATTTTGTTAAATTAAAGGTGCCAACATTTGGCATTAATGAGTATCTGATTCAATACCACTCAACCCATACCTCTAAACAGGGCCGGCGCGTCCATAAGGTGGCACAGCCTTAGGGCACACTGGCTCTGGGGGAGCAAGATTTCAGTGACTGGCAGGAGGGAAGCTCTCCCTCCTGCCAGGCCACCATCTGAACCCCCGCTGCGGTGTGCGGCAGTGGTGTGATCAGATGCGCTGAGGGAGCTCTAACCTCTCTGCTCTGCTCCCTCGCGCGCCGTCTGCTGATGCCGCGGGAGCCGGAATATGACGTCATTTTCCGGCTCCCGGTATCAGTAGATAGCCCGCGAGGGAGCAGAGCAGAGAGGTTAGAGCTCCTTTGCTGCCTCTGATCACACCACTGCCACACGCTGCCCCGCAGCCCCACTGGACCCCAGGGAATGATCCACTCCAGCTCTCCAGGTAGGGAGGCTGGGTGGAAAATGCTTATTTATAAA